AAAAGGTAAGTTAGCAGATTATCTGTCGACCAACATTACGCAAGAACGCAATAACAGTTTTTTACAATTAAAATAGTTTGTATAAACGCTTAATTTTCTATTTAACCTATTGTACAAAAGTGGACCTACAAATGAAAAGAATCTTTCGGCAAAAACATTTCTAGTTGCATTGGAACTCCACACTATATCATTTCGTCTCTTAATAGTATTGTTAGCATTGTATGAGAGCATAGTATGCTACTTTAATACTACTTGTAAAATGAAGGGGTGTGCGGACTGTTAGTATGTTACAAAATTTATATAGTTGATCTGTGGGATAGAAATAGGGATGGAAGTTTGCAACCTTTAAAATAGCTCTCTGAGCTCTTTCAAGAAGAAGCAAGATAGTTTTTGAAGCACCGCCCCATGATATTATACAGTACTGAATTATGGATTGACATAAAGCCAAATAAACCTGAGTGATTACTTGATTAGTTTTGAATCAGCATAAGTTAGAATTTTTTTAAAGACGTATATAATACTAGCTTTTACCCACGGCTTCGCTCGAGTCACAAAAGGATAAAAAGTAGCCAATGTGACATACCAATACACACAGCGCCATCTATACCAATAATTTCGTTTTCCCTCGAGAATATCAAATTTTTCTGGGATAAAAAGTACTCTATTATTTAATTCAGACTTCTAACTTTACGTCTGCAAAAATTCAAAACAATCGGTTTAGTAGTTACGGCGTGAAAGCGGAACAAACAAACAAACCCACTTTCCCATTTATAATATTAGTAAGGATAATAGCTTGCGCAGTCTTTTTACAAGACTTTGAATATGATGTCTAAAAGTAAGTGTGTCATCAATTATTACCCCAAGATATTTGATGTTACGGGAATTGAGGATAAGAGGACAATCACACATGTGGAATGAAATGTTATTACATTGATGAGCGTATAATTGAAAGGTATCAGTGATGTGTTGAGGTTTTCACATAGAAAAGTGTACATATTTAGTTTTGTCAGCATTTAATGTTAGTAAATTGCTTTGAAGCCAATTAGTCACTGTATTAAAACCTATTTCAGCATTTTCTTGCAATTCGCCAAAGGTTTTAGCCGTAAAATTAACTCTGTGTCGTCAGCATAAGATATCATTTTGCAGTGTCCAATATTTAGATTACACAAGTCGTTAATGTAGACTAGAAAAAGCGTAGGTCCCAAAACACTGCCCTGGGAAACTCCAAAACCAGTGTTCCGCTGTTCCTCGCTCGTGAAATTATCTATCCTAACGCATTGGTAACTGTTGTCTAGGTAATCAGAAAATAAAGACAGCGTCGTGCCGCGTATCCCAATGGCCTCTATTTTGTTAAGAAGCACTGAGACAGAGACTGTGTCAAAAGCTTTCGCTAAATCAAGGAAGACTCCCAGGACCTGAATTCCTTTGTATAGTTCTTTCTAAACATATTCGGTTAGGTTATGCACTGCATCAGCGGTGGATAACTTGGTCCTGTAACCAAATTGTGCTGACGACAGCAAGCTATTTTTCTGTAAAAAGTTGATTAGCCTGTTGTTAATTATTTTCTCAAGTATCTTTGACATTGAGGGAAGTACTATATATTGGCCCATAATTATTAATCAAATCTCGGTTTCCAGATTTATAGACAGGGATGACGAATGCCTTTTTCAGACAACTAGGGAACACTCCTTTGGACAGGTAGAGTCGAAATATATGCGTTAAGAGAGGTACAAATATTTTAAAGAGCTTTAGAATCTTATTGCTTATATCTCTATATATCTAACCCAACCCACTGCACAGTCGTCTTTTAGGCGAGATATGATATTTCTACTGTAAAAAAACAGAATTCGTACCATCACATAATTTGGTATGGCACACAATATTATCTTCCCTATGTTTAAGCTGAACAAGGTGTCTACAACGTTCACAATATCCCCGGAAAATGAGGCATTCGAAAAATTAAGAATTGGTTCAATTAAGAATTTTCATAAAGAAGAATTTGTCCAGATAATAATTTGCAAAAATTGACACGTAGAAAATTAAGGAATGGGAACTTATCGCTGACTTCGTCCTATCCGAGTATCGAATTCGAGATTTCGCAATCGATAGTTCCGCTTGCGACTATAGTAGGTAACACCTACATAATTATTTTAACATGCACATAAATTATGACTATTATGACCTTAATTGACATTGGACGAATATTAATCACTAGTTACGTCTGCGCCGTTTCACCCGTTCTACTCGGTGCCTATTGGCACTAGCGTGATAAATTATAGTCAATAGCCTTCCTTAATAAATGGACTATCCAACAAAAAGAGGATTTTTCAAATCGGATCAGTAGTTACTGAGATTAGCGCGTTCAAAGAAATAAAATATTCTACTTAGAAGATTTATGTTTAAAATGGCTTACCTATAATGTAGGGTTTGTTACAATTTTGATGTTTATTGACAACAGACAGGAGAGGCATGCTTCGGTAGTCAGCAGGAATGAATCTGTTGGACCGGTTAACCTCAAAAGATACCGACGTAAAACAACGTTTGTGTTGTGATTCACCGAGTGTGTGAGGATACCGGAAAGTCCGCCAAAAAGCCGGTAAAGCACTAGTAACTCTTCGGGTGTTGTCCATGAGCGGCGCTGATCCTTTACTACCAAATGCTCCCTGTCCCGTAAAGGAATTCTCGGTTACACTTTTTTCTTGAAAATCATCCAATGACTTCTACCGCCTTGGGTGAGGTGAGGAGTGTTCCACTTACTGACTAAAAATCCACCCTGTTTCTACTCCTGCTTCAAGTCGAAGCCCCGGTGACCCGGAAATAAGTTGAGAACTCCGGATTCTCGGTTACCTCAGCATTCTGCTTCTTCTTCCTTTTTTATGGAATAGAAAGCAAACGAGCAGACTGATCACCTGATGGTAAGTGATCAACGCCGTCCATGGACACCCGCGACACCAGAAGAGTCACAGGTGCGTTGCCAGCCTTCCTCTTCTGGTTATTACAAATCACCTCCGATAATTGCACTCACACGGTTGCGCACAACAAAAGCGTTCTTTCAACAGCGGTTTTCTGTGTGGTATCTGTTCGGTCGAACCAGCCATTCGTGCCGAAGCATTGCTCTCCCACTAGATTCTTGACAGCGTAATCATCTTAGGTTTTACATTTATTACCCAATTCATGATACTAACGTATCCGTCAAGGTTAATTTTAAGTAGGTACTATTTTTAACGTGTCTATAAGTTTAGATGCTATTTGCGTCAACAAGTTTAATGTAAATTGTATTTTTTTGGGATAAGCCGGTACACGAGCAGACGGATCACGTGATGGTAAGCAATCGGCGTCGCCCATGGACACCTGGAACACAAGCGGTGTTACAAGTGCGTTACCGGCTTTTTGGGAGTTTGTAGTTTGAGCATTGTTGGGGATTCAGGGATTGGGGAGATTGGGGAAAGGGATGTAGTGGGTAATTGGGTCTCTGGTAACCTCACCACACGACGAGACACAACCCAAGTGTTATTTCACGTCGGTTTTCTGTGAGGTCCCCCCGGTCGAGCCGGCCCATTCGTGCCGAAGCATGGAACATTTGTCGTGTGTTAAGCCTTTACAAGCACTGTCAATTTTCGAGAAAAGAAGAGAAATGTCGCCGACATAGCCAGTGGATTAGCAAGTTGAAGTGGGTGTGGGCAGGGCACATAGCGCGGCGAACCGACGGCCGCTGGGGCAGAAAGGTTCTCGAGTGGAGGCCACGTACCGGCAAGCACAGCGTAGGACATCCATCCGCAAGGTGGACAGACGACCTGATTAAGGTTGCAGGGAGCCTTTTTGGAAGTAAATACTTCCAGATCTCCAAAGGGGGAGGCCTATGGCTAGCAGTGGATGTCTTGTGGCTGATAAGATAGAAATGGTGAAGATGTAGCGACTGGATGTCATACATCAGTAAATACAGCTGTATTATAAGGAAAACTAACTTAATACTATGACACCAGATAATAAATCTAAATACATTATTTTTTGTTAGTATTGCAGGTCATTTTATATGTGAAGTAAATCAGACTGTAAGAAATAGCTAAAATATAAAAAAAAATTGAATAATCAAAGTTAGTTATGTATTAGATATGGCAGAGCTGAATAATTTTATATGTTTGTCAAAACTGATATTATCCTTCTGGGTGTTATAAGAGAACAGGGGACTTAATGCAAAATGAATACAATTCCGATCAATCAACATGATTATTGTACAATTTTTAACCGACTTCAAAAAAAGGAGGAGAAGAGGCACCGACTTCTAACCTATCAGTGGGTAAGTTATAAGTATGTTTGACTAATAATGGTTATTTATTTCATTTTTAGTTTTTACTTTTCGTTTGTCATTCATTTCTGAAGTTGGTTTTATTAAATGCAGTTTTTAAATTTTTTAGTTTAACTTTTCGTTTGTCATCCGTTTTTGAAGTCGGTTTTTTTTATTGTGTCTCATATCGGTGCATTCAAGCAGATAAACTACAATCTTAATTTCTCCTGCCAGGTATGAAGATTATAACAAATTATGAAGAGAAGGCTTATAGTTCAACAGAAGACTGTTGGTTATTGATCACTTGAGATATCACACCGAAATTCCCCAAAATTTGTTCATACAAATGTAGTCTCTAAACATCGGAAATACAATCTATAATGCAGTGAATGGAGAGCCATCACCGGTGACCCCTTGAGAATTGACCAACTAAACATCCAATGAGTTTGTAAACAAGTATTCCTGCTATTCAATTAATATTAAAAATGATATAGGTTGTATTTGGCGTAGTAATTGGCGTTCCTTAGTCTCTGCCTACCCCCATGGGAGACAGGCGTGAAGTTATGTATGTATGTAGGTTGTATGTTTGTTTGTGTTTGTTATTGCTTTACATCAAAACGGCTGAAAGAATGGTATGAAATTTGGAACAGAGGTAGACTATAATATGGTATTGAAAAGGATTCGTTTTTAATAAGCCTTTTCATAAAGTAATTTGGAAACCAAAACTAAATGAGACGCAAGACAATAATAAATTAGCAAAACGATGAAATTGAAGCCGATAAGATATTTTTATTACAAACAGTTGATATTAAGATTTTCTTCATATCATGGTGATAATGTTTTTTTTTTATATAATAACTGGTCCTGATACTACACTTATACAGGCTAAGGCACAGAATAAAAGTAAATCCTAACCATAAAACCACTTATCGAACGCACGACAACTTTTATAATTTACGATAATTCATTCCAAAGTACATTTTATCTGAATTACTTACCTTTAGACATTTTGTTTCCCGGGCGAATCTTTAGGCCCAAAATTAAAAATAAGTTTTACACTTTTTTTGTTGTTGAACTGTTTAACACATAACTCACAATTTTAAATTTAAAGTTTTTTTAAGCCAAACGGGATTTTTTTATTAAGATACGACTAACAACAACAATGTTTAATTTGAAATTAATTTGAATGACACACACATGACAGTAAGTGACAAAACACAACTTTGTCGTCATTCGGAATTTTACAGTCGAAAAGTTTACGTTTTGGAACGTTTCACAAAATAATTAATTTATGATTTTTACTATTTCTTCAGTAAATGTAGATTTAATTATTCTCCATGGTAACGTTATCCTTGTATTCTATTTAATATTTTTGGCAGAGTTGCTCAAATATCCTTCTTTTGCGCGATGTTTCCAGGACACATAGAATGGTAATTGTAAGATTTTCATACAAAAGATAATTAAATGATATAACTCATTTAAATGACTATCATAGAATTTAAATTAAATAAATATAATATGCAATTTAAAATATAATTAACTAAAAACTAAAATATTTATACCTTAAAAAAAGTAATAATAATATTGTATACTTTCATACATGGAGACAGTTAACGAGCTGCGAGGTGATAAAAGTTTATAAATATATGAATACTTTAAAACAAATATGTAATGGAAACAGTGAATGGAAATTACATTTTCCAGAAAAAGAAATGCAATATACGAGACAAAAATAATGTTTTGAAAATATTACTAATTGATGCGTCACTACTATTTAGTAAGTTTTGAGTACAACACTGGCCAAAATGTCATGGCCGCCTTCGCCATTGCGACATATGTACCGTGACAAGTCATGTCATTTGTGTCCATGATATATGAAAAATTCCAATGGCAGATTCTTTCTTCGGGTTCGATACTTCGTTATCGGTAAGTCTAAACGTTATTCTACAAAAAAAACCAAGTTATTTGATATATAATAACCCTAAAACTGCGAGGCTAGCTTCTGCCAGCACGCCACTCAAAACGCAGCATTTCACTATACAATCAAGTATTCCCACTTTCTACCTTGTATTTACGTCCTATATGCCTATTTAGGGCAACTAAGATCGCTTGAATTGTTTCTTTTACCATAATAAACACAATAAGCGTCACAGTGTTGACTATACATATTACATTTATGTATTTTCGCATTTCTACTTGTCACTTGTTTGTTTCGGCGGAGAATTTCGAGAAAAACACGTAATAGGCTAGATTATAGCCATAAACTACGCCTTAGCTCAAGTGTCCATAGAATGCGCGCCAAAAATTGTGCATAAAACGTGGTACAATGTTATGAAATATGTTGTTTTTTAACTGTGTATTTTTAGTGATCACACTTAGTCACTCTTGTTTTCGTGGTAATATATACTTTGTGTGTATTGCATTTTGTTCTTGTATTTGCATTTAGAACTTTCCAAACTCATTTCCAGTTCCACTTATGGGTTGAAGTGCAGGTCATTCACTCGTATGATCTTATAATTACCATATGTAACATTAGTCTATCTACATACATATAATAATATACATGTACTTGAAGGATACTTAGTAGGCACATACATGTGTAACTGGAGATAAAACATGTCTACTTTGTATACAATCGTTAGATAAAGTAATTATGTTGTGTTAATTGTTATTTCATTAGGTTACCGCTATCATGTTCAGTAATTCATGAAGTTTTAAAGTCAATTAATAATGTTATTTGGGTAATGAGTTTGCATTCAAAACTCTTAATATATAAATAATATTAAATGTATTTCACTTCTAATAAAGTCGTTTTTAACTTAACTATTTCATCGAAGATATGCTCTCCTGGAAATTGCTATTCTGGTTTCCTGATGTCAGATGTTGGTTTATACAATGTGAACCTAAAAGTATTGATATAAAAATGTATTAAATTCTATGTCAGTTGGACTAGTATCAACAAAACTATGTAACTAGAGAATTGTATTGTAAACCTGATTGTAAAAGAGGAACCTATGGATTTTCTTGCTTGTTCTCCTCCATAGGAATCTACACCTTGGAATGAGCAAATAGCTTCAGTTTTAAATTTTTTTGTTGACATTCAAAGGTGCCTTCCTGGTCTAATTGAAATAAATGATTTTGACTTTGATGATGAATCTAAAACCGACAAACTTGTGGTCTTAAAAGGTTTTTTGTTTCAAAAAACTACTCTATTTTTCGGTAATTCAAAGGTGCTTGTATGTGGTGTAATCAAAAAGAGATACTTAGGCTTAAACTTTTTTTAAATTAGCTGTACCTCGACTTCATTCACATGGAATAGCGACTTTGGATAGTTCTTCACAGTTCTTCTCCCCATAGATGATAGTGTAATAATATGTAGCCTATATGTTGACCCAACCTGTTAGTAATGTTCATGCAAAATTTGAAGCAAATCCATGCAGTACTTTTTAAGTTTAGCCCGAACATACATACAGACAATCAAACAAATATTCTAAGAACTATATTTGTGGCTTCAATAACTTCGACTGTAGCCAAGCTATTCTTTTAAAAAAATATATTCAGTGTACAGTTTTATAATAATAATAAAATAATAAAATTTTTATTCATAATAACACTGGTCAACATAGGTACAAAAATATATCCTAATTAAGCAACAAGATCTTAAAAATATTATGCCTATACTAGGAATATTCCTGTGTCACAGGGGATAGTAGCTCTAAAAATATGTTAATGTAAGATAACTTATTTATAGTATTAGTTTAGTAGTTTTGATTCACTTAAGAATTTTTTATATGTAAAAATGCCTCATATTAGAATTTTAAGGTCTTATATGTTTCTAACTAGCAATATTGTTTAGATTAGTTTAAAAAGTTCCATAAAAATAGTTTTTTTTGAGCTCAAAATTATTCTGTTTATTGCATCAAGTTAAATAACAAAGTTAGATTATGTGTCGTAACTATTACAACCATTTTTTAATTGTACGCAATGATCTGATACAAATCCTCAAAACTTGTTCATATAAAACTAGTCTCTTAACATCGGAAAGAAGGTCTATAATGAAGATAGTGGAGTATGGTCACCGGTGACCGCTTGGGGGTTGATCAGTTAAGTCAAAAAAATTCGTCAGTCATTAGTTTTGTTAGATTGTGGCGGAAAGACCTACATAGTGGTTTGTGAATAATTTTTTCTCAGAAATTATTATGAGTGGACTAATTTTATCTTAAATCTTCGGTTTTAATAATAACATTAATGTTGGTTTTTTTGCAGTTTCTGTGACATTTTGACTTTGTTTCTCTTATGCCATCCCTAGTGTATGCATACATACACCTTTCATACATACACATTCAACAGCAAATGTATGTTAGAACATGCTTCTAAATGTGTTAGCTGACATGATTATACACCACCAACTGGCCGGCTAGTTGGTGGTTTATCCAGCAACCAGCAACTGGAGCATATGAAAAAGCGACACCAATTTGTGATTGTTAATTATTACCTTTTTCTCATACAAAATATTTAAGTGTGGGAGAGCCATGCTTCGGCACGAATGGGCCGGCTCGATCGGAGTGATACTACGGCCTCACAGAAAACCGACGTGAAGCAACGCTTGCGTTGTGTTTTGTCGTGTGAGTGAGGTTACCGGAGGCCCAATTACCTTCCCCTTCCTCAATCTCCCCAATCCCTGAATCCCCAACGATGCTCAAACTCCTACTCCCCAAAAAGCCGGTAACGCACTTGTAACGCCTCTGGTGTTCCAGGTGTCCATGGGCGACGCTGATTGCTTACCATCAGGTGATCTGTCTGCCCGTATACCGGCTTATCGGAGGAGGAGAGTGCGGGTGAGCTTGGCTCGCCTGCGGTAGCGGGAGTAGGGAGCCCAAGTGGCTCCGGGACTCGTGGTGAGGCGCTGGACTCGTCCAGCAGGCCCCACACACGGGAGTCCAGTCGAAGGGGGTCGGACTCAGAGTCCGACACAACATTGGCGGAGCGGCTGAGCGTGAGCTCGAAAGGCTCACGCCGCCGCGCGACGGGGACGTTCAAGCGCCCCAGGCTGGAGGAGGACAGTTTGTCCCCGTCCTCTGGCGCTCAGGAGGCGCCTCCCCCCAAGGTCCCCACGGCAGCGCGGGGTAGGGGCGGCAAGGGCAGCGGTCGCCGGAAACCGGCACCAGCTGCCTGCGCGGAGTCAGCCGAGCAGCTGGCCGCGGAGGGCAGGGCTCTCTCGACCGCTGCCCGTTCGGAGTCCTCTGCGGCCGAGATGTCCGGCGTGGAGATGTCGGAGGGCGAGCGCGGCTCTGAGAGCGAGAGCTGCTCCGGGGGCCTCGAACAGGCCATTACGGCGGAGCTCTACAAGCTGGCGATGGGGAAATCCCAGCCGGTTAGGCTCCGCCTCCTCAAGGCGGCGGCGGCCACTATTACGGAGGCGGCCTTGGAGCAGCGTGCGGTGCCCACTGCGGGAAACGTGCGCTCTGAGCTGGCCGAGATGCGGCGAGAGCTGGCGCGTTTGGCTGCCTCTAACGCGGCTCTGGAGGCCGAGCTGCGGACGGCCAGGGCCGAGCTCGCCGCTGCTCGCGGCAGTCGCCCTCAGCCCCCGGCGGAGGCCGACGTGGTCGGACTGCTGCGGGCGGAGATGGCTGCCTTCCAGCGACGTTTCGACGTGCTGGAGGGCAGGCTCTTGCGCCCCCCACTTGCGGCGAGTCAGGTCGCCCCCGCAGTCCCGCGGTCGTACGCGGCCGCTGCGGCCAAGCCTTCGACCTCGGGTCAGGCTAGCCGCAGCTCCCAACCGCCGGCAAAGGCGCGACCGGCTGCCCCAGCGAGGGCCTCGGCGCCCCCGCCGGCGCAGACCCCAGCTGCGCCGACGGCGCCAGCGCCCGCAGGGCGCAAAAAGAGGAGAGGCACTCCAGCCCGGCAGGCTGGAGTTGCGGCAGCGGTGGTGGAACCCGCCCCGCGAGCGGAGGACGGCGGCGGGTGGCAAATCGCCGGCGAGGCGAGGAGAGTCGCCAGGGAGGGCCGGAAGCGCCGCAAGAAGGCGCAGCGGCAGCGACGGCAGCAGCAGCGCAGGGAGAAACGCGCTGCTGCCTTGCTCCTCGCCCCTAAGACCGCGGCTGTAGTGATTACGCTGCAGCCCGAGGCGGTCAATAGGGGCGTCACTTACGGCGACGTCCTCGCCAAATTGAAGGGGGCGGTATCTCCTGCGGAGTTCGGGGCGCCAGACGGGTTCGCGGTCAAGGTGACCGCTACCGGAGCCCGTCTTTTGGAGGTCCCCGGCGCGACCAGCGGCCCATCGGCCGACGCCCTGGCCGAGAGGCTTAGGGCGTGCCTCGGTGCGGACGAGGCCCGCGTGTCCAGGCCCACCAAATGCCTGGATGTCAGGATTTTGGGCCTGGACGACTCCGTAACGGAGAGGGAGGTGGTGGCCGCTGTGGCCAGGACGGGAGGGTGCCCTGCTGACCAAATCAAGGCAGGCGCCATCCGCCCGGACAACTCGGGGCTGCGCACTGTTGTGGTCAGCTGCCCCGTCACAGCGGCCAAGAAGCTGAAGGAGGGCAAAAGGCTCTTGGTGGGATGGGTCTCGGCGCAGGTCAAGCTGCTCGAGACCCGGCCTCTGAGGTGCTACCGCTGTCACGTGGGGGAGCACGTGAGCGTCAAATGCACCTCGGAGGTGGACCGCAGCGACTGTTGCTTCCGCTGCGGTCGGCCCGGTCACAAGGCCGGCTCGTGCAACGCCCCGCTGCACTGCAACGCATGTGCGGCGGCTGGCAAGCCGGCCAATCACCGGGTCGGGAGCAAGGGCTGCTCCCCTCCCGCCAAACCCAAGGGCAAAAGTAGGCCCTCCGCCGCCCCCGTCGTCTCCGCCGCCGCCGCCACTGCCACCGCAGTCGCCGCTGCCGCCACTGAGGAGGTCGGAATGGACTGCCAATAATGGCTCC